TTTTTCCCTGTTTTTTTTTTTTTCCCCTGGATTTTTTTGTTTCTTTCTCTAAGCTAGTCTTTCCAATACAGAGAAAACATTGACCCACATTACAGTCTTCTGCTAGGGAAAATGTTTTCTGCCTACAGTAATGAACAGTTTTCAGTAGTTTATGAATTTTCAAATAAATGTTCTGGTTTCTGAACTCCCAACCATAGAAATTTGCTTTGTCTTTGAGGGAGATTACTCTCTGTGTGTGTCTGTATTCTGTTTTAAAAAAAAAAAAATCAACAACAACCAATCAACAAAACCTAAAAACCCAAAGCACAACAGCAACAACAAAAACTTTATTTTCCACTTTCTTCATTTGATAAAAATCTCTCCACTGTAGAATGATTTCCTTTGGGTTTGACACCACCATTTGATCTCAGTTTTTAATAATTTTGGTGGGTTTCACTCCCAGAAGAAAACATGCTTGTGCTGTGAAGTATTCCCACTAGAAATCTGGGAAGTCTTAAAACCTCATGTTACTCAGGGCTAAGAACTGGCTTCTTTATTAATTCCCTGCTAGACAACCCCTGTACAGTAAATCTTTCCATAACACCACGCTGTTGAAATTAATCAAGCTGATGTTTGGAAATTGTTCAAATTAGATTAAATTAAATAACACCTAGACGGGGCTCAAAACTTGTGCTGATGGAAACAGATTTTAATCTAAAAAGACACAAATTTTATTGGTGCCTGTTCTTATTGGTTGATCTTCCTATTATACTTATTAGGACACGCAAGTGCTGCTCCCTATTTAATGGCTGGAAAGGTGGGTGGCTGAAATATTTTAACCTCCTCCTCAGCTTCCTGTATCCTTTTCTTTTTTTGCTGTAGGTGCCAAGCCTATGGTGGGTATATGGAAGCAGGCAAGGCAGAGAAGTTCACTGCTGATAGTATCACGTTTATTGCTTGTTCTAAAGCATGAGAAACAGAGCAGGACTTCTTAATATCTGCTCTGTCTTGTCCTTCTAGTTGGTCACTAGAAATTTACAGCTTTTATTTGCAAATCTTAAAATTGAAAATGTTTTCCAGGGAGCTGCATGGTTGGAGTGTGATAATACTTTTAACTGGCTTCAAGTGTTTTGTAAAAACGAATGTTTTATGCAGCAGAGTGTCCAGAGTTTTCACTTCTTGAATTAAATACCTGTTTCTCTTTATTTTTAAGACTAGATTGCTCCCTAGTAAAATAAAACTATAGATTGAAATGGGCAAGGGGGAGAAAATGTGCATTTCAACACAGGTCTCTTTGATACATAGTTAATTTCCTGTTAATTTCTCTGCCCCTTAGAAGAGTCTCAGCAAAAATGCAACTATGTTTATGACGTTTTCTCTGTACATTGCAGCTTTTCTGTGAAAGCAATAGTGGAGCTTAAATCTCGTCTCTGATTTCTTTTAAAAATATAAGTTATACAAATATATGTTATACAAAGGTACAGGTCACGGCTAACCATTCTGTTCTTCAGGGTAATAGTGGGAACAGTTTTTCCCTGTTCTTTTCCATGGATTAGAAGGAATTATTGTTGTGTATGACTGTCCTTATAAAAGCCTTTATGTAGATCTTGTTTTATGCTCCCCCAGCCTTTTATGCGGATGCTATCTATATGGGGTCAGAGCTCCGTGAGAAGCACAATGCTTGTAAGTCAGTTAAGCAAATTAACATCAAGGAGAAAAAGTCTTATTGTATAATTTGTGATCTAATGTTTTGTGTGCATTCCTGCATTGTGTTCATCCTTTAAGGAAACAAACAGTTTCCTTTGTAGCCCTCGGATTACCTCTTGTTTTCTGCGCGTATGACAATCGGTGCCGTGTATCATCTACCGTGAGCTGTAAAGCGTCGTTCATTGCAGCATCTCTCTAAAGCTGTGAGAGTGAGTGCACTGGAGTTCAATGCAGAAGGGACCTAGGCCTCTTTTGTACATATGCATGGGAGAGGGAGGGTGACAGTAGTTCGGGCTGATGAGGCATTAGGAAAAGAGCTGAGGAGTTTCAGGGTTTGTGAGGCTGGCTTGCATTGCTGTAGTACTGCGTGCGAGACTTCATTATGGATGCTGGGTCTCCTGCTCTCTGAGTATTGCTGTCAGGTCTTCAACTGGAATGACAATGAGCAGTGACTAACTTGCATTGCTCTTTTGTGAGGGCCCTGTAGTGAGCTGGAGGTGTAATGTTTGCATCTAGGGACAAGACGTTGTGTATATTGATATGTAAAGAGCATGTTGACTTTTGGCTGCAGATGTTTTTTCTTCTGATTCCAACATATTGAAAGGCTGTTAATTTATTTTCAGATAACGTCAGGAAACAGAGAAGTTTGAGGCAATAAATCCATTGGAGACATTATGATTTAACTCTCCAATGAGAAGTAGAGGGCAAAGCAAATGGAACTTCTGTGGAGTGAGACTTACTTGGACATAAGTTGGAGTACTGTTGTTTTTTAGTAAAATAGAACTGGTATTAAGATTTCAGACGCTATAGCAAGAGGCATGAGAGCGGGTTGGCAATGACAGATGTGGTAACCTGCCCTTTGCTCTCTGTTTTTAAGGTACTAATAGCAGCTTATCATCAGTTATGCTGGGTCACTGAGTTCAGAGATGTTTTTGCAAAAGCTGTTTCTGTAGCACGGTCCCTGCAAGCACGGGTAGCAGGAAGGGGCAGGAAAGTAATAACGGGCAAGAGTCCCATGGGTCCTTTGCGCCATCCATAAAGTGATGTCACGTACAGCATCAGTTCTAGCATTTGAGTTCCTGTTTGTACTGAGCCAGTAAATGACGAGTGTGGAGAATAGGTGCAGCTTCTGTGCTCAAAAGGTGGAAAGACTGTTGCGTGACAAGGAAAGCATCCAGCAGGAGGATAAAAGATGCTGTGGCATCCCTCTCATCGGTTTGCATTCACCTACTTTTTCTGGCTTACCAAAATGTAATTTACACAACTGATATCACAGCCTCAACATTTGGCCAAGTATCTTAATCTTTTGTTGGGACAAGAAAAGCCCCTTCAAAGGTGCTATGATGGACTGTATGTTCAACAGGAGAGGAAATTGTCAGTTATGGAGGTTAAATTTCACTTTAACTAGTTAAATGACTTATGGACAAATAGAACTCAGTTTTTAAGCTTTGATAGGAATAGAAATTTTGTCATTGATTTCAGAGGAACAGGGTCAGCCTTGTGCTGTCTTTTCAGGAAAGCACCTAGAGATTTTTTTTTTTCACTGAGATTTTTTTTTAACACTGTGTGTTAGAATTTGGCTGCTTGAACTTGCAAAATGCATCAGTTTAACCCAGAATCAAGCAGTGAAGAGAGAGCAGCAGCAATGTGATGCCATAACCTACTTACACATTACTTCAGGATGTGTTTTAAAACAAAGAACTAAACCAGATCAACTGGATGTCATGACTCGTAGCTGCTGCTGCTGGCCTGCAGTTAAAATGTGAGACTGGGAGCCACTCTGTGCCAGATAGGTCACTAAGTGAGAGTTGTGTATCTAAAATATATTTTAAAGTAAATCTAGTCTCTACAAATTCAAAACAAGGAGCATTTAAGTCCCTTAGCAGTTCTTACTGCTGTGGCTGTAAATATTTCAGGGCAGGGTAACTCCTCTGAAGGGATATATAACTGTTGTTTTGCAGATACTGAAGCTACTGATAGTAGAAGATCTTGAGGATATTTAACTGACTTTGTACAGAAGGAGAACTGAAATGTGGCTTTCCCTTCTTTTGCCCTTAAAGAAGTGCCCATGAGAACCCCATGATTTGTGTCTGGCCTTTCATAAATATATTCAGTTATTTTTCATAGTTGTTATCTACTGGAAAAGGCTGTATTTAATGCTGAAGAACAGGAGTGAGAGGTGAATTTTCTGTCTGTATTATGAGCCTTAGATAGCATGTTTGGAGAACTGCTTTATGCTGAGATTTGTCTCTGCCCCAGTAGTTGCTAGTTTATCCAAGGGCTAACAAACTGTACGTAACCAGTGAATACATTTCTGTGAGCAGAGGTGATGTTTTGTCCTTTGCCATCCCCTGCCTGCATCCTGCCTGTAGCAGGCGATGGAAATGGCCGTGCAGTTCTGTAGGTTTTCCATCTCTTCCATCATCCCTCCGTTCATACGCTTGGAGGACTGTAGGACCGTCTCCTGCAAATTGGCTTGTTTCTCTACTGTCTGTAGTATTGAATCCCTTTAAGTTCATGCCCCACAATTTATTGCCATAGATGACTTGATCCTGTAACCACAAAAGTAAATTTACAATAAAACAGAACAAAATTGAATCCAGACCACCCCCTGAGTTTTCCACTTCTGTGGTTCCTCCTCATCCTTTATCCTCTTTCAAAGAGAGCTGTTCTCACTCTTCATACATGCAGCGGGAGACCAGCCACTGGCCTGTCTGGGGCTGCACGACCATCAGCTGCCAACACAAGATTATCGTTTTCAGCAAAACCAGTGCGAGGGTATTTTGCTTGCAAAGTGAGAAGACTGGCCGTGGTCTGAAAACGTGCAAATAAGCCTATCCCAGTGAAGAACTGAGTATGGAACTAGCCTCTGCTGATTCCTCCATATGTTTACTCTGTGGAGGGAAGCAGAAGTGACATTTGTGTGTCAGATTTTCATATGGCTGAACGTGGAGAAGCCCCGACCTGAAAGAACAGGGACATTCATGGAACTGTAGAAAACTTCTGCTATGTTGAAAAGGTCATATTAGGAAATCTTGTTCATCCTCATGCTGACTGTGATTCTGTTCCTGAATTGTATTCTCTGGAGCTTTTAGTGTGGTTTTTAAATGAGTCAAGTGATGAGACTTCAGTATTTCCCTTGGAAAGAAAACAAAAGCTATCCCACGGGGAAGAAAGGCAGATTTCCACTTAAGATGAGCCTTCTAGGAGGTGTTTTAATTTACAGCTTTAATCAGAGATGTGTGACACACTTCTTGTTCCTCTCTTACTGATATTTTGTTGTTTTGTTTTGCTTTTTTTTTCATCTAGGTTTGATGATTCCAGTCTTTTGTGTGGTGGAGCAGTCAGATGCCTCTCTTGAATATGATAATCGAGAAGAGCATGCCGAGTTCGTTCTGGTTCGCAAAGATGTGCTCTTTAGCCAGCTGGTGGAGACAGCGCTCCTGGCTCTGGGGTATTCCCACAGTTCTGCAGCTCAGGCACAAGGTATTCAATAAAGTTCTTTCCCCCCTTTTCTGTCCCGGCAGAAGGCAGCACCTGAGGTTGTTTGATGTAAGGAGAAAGCAAGACAATTGGTGGCAAATCTTTGAAGTGGTTATATCAGTTGTGTTGATTGCTTAATCTTAAACTACGTGTACAACAAGCCCTACCTTGTTAGCCTGCCTAGAAAGCGTTAGCTGGATCTTGCTGAAGTGTGAAATATGGTGATAATGATCAGTCAGCATATTCATGACACATTTGTTCTGTACCACGAGGCAGGTTGCTGCTTTGAGGAAGTCAGCACAGAAGAGCTGGATAGAACCTCTAGGTGTACAACTAGATGGTATCTGGCATTCCTCAGGGCAGGTTTGAACAGCATATTATAATCTTTGATTTTTAAAATTATACATTGTAGATAATGGTTATATATATATAAATAAATGCTGTCTTTATGGCCAGTAGTAGTAATGCTAAACATGCAGGCTGATTTCTCTGCTTTCGCTTACCTACTATATTGCTGCAAAGCCCTTTGTAAAGCTCTGTAGTCCCTTCCACTTAGAGATGATTCTCCCATAGCAGCGAAATCTTAAAATAAACAAAGCTTCCCTCTCTCTACCCAAAATAGCAGCTTGAAAAAAAAACAAACTTAAAATCCTAATCTTGAGGGAGATGGGCAGGAGGTGGTGGATTGGGAAAAATCTTCGCAGAACAAACTTTACATTTTTAGAGGCTTTTTTATACTAGACAGGTTATTTCAATGCTTATTCTTTTGCATAAGGAACCTGTAAGTTTCAGTTTTATCTTCAAGTCATCAGTAAAACCTGTGCATATTTGAGTAGTTTAATAGAATCAGAAACTTTGCCTGGGGATTTGGATTTTACCTGTTAGTTTCAGTCGCCTTGTATCGCTAGGTATTTGAACGTGTGAACAGAGAGTGAAGCCGGTGGTGTTGAATCCAGGAGTTCCAGGCAGTGGTTAATAGAGCAGCGCTCCTCGTACAAGCTTCTTTCCAAGCAGGGGGATAATGATTCATTTCCTCTGTCAGCCTCTGCTCTGTGAGAGCGGCTCAGGTTCTGCATACAGGGAGAGCTCATCTCCTGCACGTGTGTTTATTTACACAATGCCGTAATAAAAGCTCTTCGCGAAGGTAGTGATTTTGTTTTTTACTATGAAACATTTCGTGACAGTTTAGGGGAGCTTTTTTTCTGAACGTAAAGGGTCAGCGTATCCCCCTGTTTCCATCCTGGTGAGCCAGCTTCCTGTTTGACAGCACTATCCATCTCAGTTAACACAGGCGCTCAACGTGTTGCGAGCTAACATGTGGAACACGCTGCATTAGGTGGCCAAGATTTGATTCTTGGCACTTACAGAGGGGAATGGGCTTTGCTAGAAACCCACTCCAAGGAGGCATGCCGTTCAGTGCAGTGATCCACACTGCCTGAGCAGCTCACTTGGGGGAACCTTGCTTTTGCAGCATCTCTCTGTTGTGAGAATAACAAGGAGGAGAAACAGATTGAGTGGCGAAGGAAATCAGTCACTGTGCAGGAAGGAGAGGGCCACTGCGTCTTTGAACTACGGGCTTTGACAACGAGCAGGTTCAGATACTAATGTGTTGCTCGAAGAACTTGCCTAGAAAATAAAAGTTAAATCTCTAAATGTTGTAATTAGTGTAAAAGAAAAGGCTTTGGCATTTTTGTCTTTAAGGCAGCAATTTCCTTCCACTAAAATACATCAGATGGTAATACTATTTAGAAATGACAAAAAATATCTTCAAGACCCATCAGCTAACAAATCTCCTGGTCAGTTTATTTACCTTCACACTGAAGGGCCAGTACTCCCAAGTAATTTATACATCCTGGGCAAATACTGGTCATGCTGGTTTTAAGATACGAAGCTCAAGTACGCAGCATGTACTGTAGTATCTTGCTTCTGTGCTAGCTGTCTGCAAGCTGAGATGAGGTGCAGGCAGAGACACAGTGCTAGTAGATCTCTGAGATTGGTTAGTTTAATGAGAAAATTTATGGAATATTGGGCTATAATCTGTCAGCTAGGGTTGACAGAAGCTTGCTGCTAAATTGTTGATATAAGGATTTATTTTGGAACACAATTTTCCGATATTAAAAAAAGAAAAAAAAAATAAAGCTATTTGCTTTATTTATTCTGGTTGTAGGAATAAGTGTGCTTCTGTTCTAGTGCTTGGGATTGATTCCTCTTAGCAATATACATTGATAAACAGTCACGCAGTTCTTCTCTATGCTTTATGATCCACTGAATTACAGGATCTGCATGAGAAGTTGAAGACCCTCAGGTGCGTGTTTCAAAATGGTAAAGCTTTGAGCAACGTGTTGTGCAAAACACTGGCGTGAGTAGGTGTCCCCATGTCCTCCAGGGACAAAGTCAATGTGAGCTCGTCAAAGCTTTTGTGTTGTAAAGGCTGTCTAAGCCGTAACGTAGCGTGTAATAATTGTCACTTTTTGAGTTGGGAAAGTGTTTCATTTCCCCCCCACCTCTTGCTTTGGATTGCTCTGAGAGGAGTAGCAATGTTCACTTCATCTTGTGGGAAACATCTTGCCTTTGCCTGTTCCTTTTAGAACGGGGTCTCCAGTGGCAGATAAAAGAGCTGGTTGTGGGGGAGCAGAGGAGTTTGTGGCAGCAGGGAGAGTTGCTGTGCAGTTTCACACCGCCCTCGCCTCGGTTCACCGCGGCACCGCTACAGACCTGCTGAGGCTCGAGCAGGCGGCGTGCGACGTGCGTGTAGGGCCCTGCCTCACACTTGCCAGCTGTACAGCAGAGCCTGGGTGCCAGAAAGGAAACGTGGCACAGAAGGGTAGGTGGTGCGTTGCCTCCTTGAGGGGTCTGTACGCCCAAAGAGGCCCTGCCGTGGGGCTGGGCAGCAGGCTAGAGCTCCCCGAGGAGGTGACGCCATGTCTGAGCATTTGAGCTGTAGCCTGCATGCTCAGCTGCCACCTGGCCTGGAGCCTCATGTACCAGCTCGTCGTCACTTGGCTTATCGTGGCCAATTTTTAGTCCTGGTCACTGGGTAAATGGAGAAGTCCTAGCATAAATGGTCTTGAGACAAATACATATCAGGAGGTGTACATGAAGGTAGCCCCATGGCTCACTGGAAGAAGCTCTTTAATCCCACACAGTTTGGGCAGGATGTATTTATTCCACAAACAGCTGGTTGCGAATGTTTTTTGTTGATGGTGGCAGGAGCAGAGACTTTTCCAGCGAGTGCTGCCCTCGTGAAACTTCTCTTTTCTGACAGGAGCTGTGAAAAGTCTTCTGGAACAGCATGGGAATTCGTTAACAGCTTGGCATTAGGGTGTGAAAGTTGGTGGTGTGAATGGCAACAAAGGTTTAATAAACATTTATGTATTTTTCTTTCATCACTTGAGTCTACACCTGACACTAGGGAACCTGCTACATGTGCCTTCCGGAGAGGAAAAGAGTCATGCTTTAAAGGGGCACCTGTTCTTGGTGTAGTTTAATGAAATTTACATGCCCTGATGCAGTTTTTTTTTTCTTGGTGAGTGAGGGTATTCTAACTGGGCTGTGCAAGAGAAGGGAACTGGTAGGGGCTACGTACAGTATATAGTGCTGAGTGCTGGGGCAAAAGTAGTATGAAAGTAGCTGCGATCTGGAGTACCCTGTGTACAGTCCTGCAGCTTTGGGACCTGCTGTGAAAGCTGATTCACTCCTGGGTGTGGGGTGGAGGAAGAACAGTGCTAGTTTGATGCTTTTAGCAACTTCTACTTTCTTACAGTCCATATGAAAACTGTGTGATTTTTTTGTGGGTATATGTATATATGTTTTTTTTTCTTTTGACCAGTTCCTTATTAGCTCTTGTGAGTGTATATACAGTGGAGTGCCTGCCCTGATCGCTGTTAGTGGGCAGCTTTAGGTGGGTGCTGGCAAAGTAGTTGCTTGGGTTAGTTGCTGTGAGTGGCCAGCACAAGGAAAGGGTGGTACAGAAGAATTAAATGGTGCCGAGATGCCAAGTGGAGTGGAAGGAGGGGTGAGAAAACAGCAGAGGGAAGTTAACACAGACCAAGAGAAACATTAGGTGTTTCCCATCCCTGTCACTGTAGAGATGGCCAAGCCCTGGTTCTTAAGCAATGTACTGCCATGAGCAGAGCCATTGCAAGAGGCAGTGCCTTGCGTTGACGCCTTGGAGGTCCCTCTTCATGCTGCCTGGTTTCTTCTAGTGCTGTATACTGACTGAAGAGTGGGAAGCCTTATGGCTGCAGAGAGCTTGGGGTGGCTGGTCAGAGTGGAAGGCTGGAAAGAGAGGCTGGCAGTGGTCAGTGGAAGGCATAAGACAAGAATGAGAAACAGAAGAGGTTTAAGTATCTTACCTTGCCATGTGGAGTGCAGTAGCAATGGAGGAGAGTGATGCTCTGTGGGGATCGTGACTTAGCGACCTGAGGTCAGACAGCATCGCCCTGTTGGCCTTGCACAACTGGAGTGGGGAAGAGAATTTTGCTGCTGCTGGTCAGTGCCTGGCCAGAGTAGCTGATGAGGTACCTCTGCCCTAATGTCATGACACCCAGAAGTGTATCTCAGGACCAGTTGTGCTCCAGCTGCCTCACCTGTGAGGCTGTGATGTTGCTTGCAGCCATGGGAAGTTGTAAGACAAGCTGGGGTTGGCTTTGGTGCTTCTGCAGAGCACTGTGCTCTGGAGCAGTAGTGGGGTGTCTCTTGCAGCTGGCTGCAGGGAGGAAGAAAGGAGGCTCTTCTGACTGCGTAGCAAGGAAACCAAGCCGCAGACACGTGAGGGCTCTCCTCTGGTTCCATGAAGCACATGGCTGGGGCAGGAAGGAACCCAGACTGCAAGTGTGCTCATTTCCCTCAAGGGTCCAAATATGTGAGCTCAGCCCTGCTCTCTGCTGTTAATTGGAAGCCTCTTGCACTTGCAGCCTGCATTTAAATAGTATTTCAAAGGAAAGACCAGATCTGTTTGAAACGGTGGTGTTTAACGAATCAGTCCAAACCCCAGGCTGCTG